ATAATTACAAACTCTGCCTTTCTGGCACTGATGCTGTTCAGGTGATGTTGAAAAGCTTTCCATTGTGCTTCAGGAGGAAGATGATGTTATTTTGCAACGATGCGTTTTCACATGAAAAATCATTGCTATTCTTGATCTGCAGCAGATCTAATGAAACTAATAGCACTGACTTTAGTAAATGAAAGGTGCCAGTAAATAAATAACCACTGGAATTACTGCCTCCACTCATGCGCTCTGCACAACAGTCTCACATTTCGTATGTTTGCCTCTCTCCCTCCACGTGGATGCATTGATTCCTCCAAATAGCTCAGGCAGCTCTGGACGAAGAAGGAACGATGATCTCTTAGGGAGCTGCCTGGCTCCCCAAAAAGGCTGTTTATAGCAGCACCTTCAATGCTATGAAAAGAAGCCTGTCTCTTGGTTCTTTGGCAGGCTGTGGTTACCGACATCAAGGTCTGTCTCTTCTCTATGGGGACGGCTTCGTCCCGGAGTTCCCACCTGGACCCAGAATGTGCTCACTGACACAGAGGGGCATTGGCACTGCAAGATACGTGTCTCAAGAATGAAGACTATAAACAGCTGCTAGCATAAAGTAACACAGCCTTGCATAGCTGCCATGCAACTCTGTCATCTCAAGGGCACAATCTGATGTATTGCAATGAGGATAACGATAAAAATATAAAGGCATGCATCTTGTTCCATTCCCTAAATAAAGTGCCTTGGCCAGATAAGAGAATTTTGCAGGTTGCCAATAGCAACTCTCATGTTTTCAGAGCACACTGTGCAACATCTTCATGCAAAGCAGAAAAATTACCCACGTCTCTCTCATGGCTCAATAGCCCGTGTTCAGCCTAGGCTAGGCCAGGTGCCTGCAGAGCTCCTGTGCCCTACCACACCATATCCTTGCCTGAGCAAAGTGGCCAAACACCACTGCCTGTCAGAAAAGTGGGAGACTTTTACAGATAAAAACGTGCCTGATCATTTCTTAAAATAAGGAATGAAACCTGCTTCTGTTCACACAGGAGGGGATGTTGTTTAGACAGACACACACATGCACAGATACTAACAAAAACGTTAATCTCTTATACTTGCAACGTATATAAAAGTAAGGTCACACACAGGTTCCTCTCACTGACTGCTCAGTGTTGCAAAAATATGGAAGCACTGTTATTCTTCAGAATAGTGAGGCTTTCCGCCCACCTCTTCCCCATCCAAATTTATGGGCTGTGCATTTCCACAGGCTCAGCTCCCCAAGCAGGAGCTGTAGGTCTGCTGGGGCTTGAAGGTTTGGATGGGCCTCGTACCTGAACCCTTGTATGGCTTGCCAGATGTGGAGAGTAAGCTGCTTCCTTTCCTGCGTGCTCCACAGCTTCAGACATCGCATCGGTGCTTTTGTGCTGGTGATGGTGGGACTTCTGGTCGTGGTGGCCCTCCCTTTTCCTGGCGTCTGTGTCAAATAAGACGTGGGTTAACCTCTCCAGGTAGTGCTCCAGCTCCTCCTGGGTGTGCTCCAGTTGCTTGCCAACGTTACTGGGAAAAAAGGAAGAGGAAGGTGGAGGGCTTTTGCTTTCCATCTCTTTCTTGACCTCCTCCACGTGTCGGTTATGCTTCATTAGATAAACCACGATGACAAACAAGATCAGGCACAGATACACAACCCAGACTTCTTCCATTTCGGTGGCTAATGCTTGTCAATGTACTCGAAGGGAAAAAGACAGATGTGCCAAACACAGTAGGTGTGTCAGTATCCACAGGAAAGGACTGTTGCCAGTAATCAGAGCACCGCAGTAATGTAATGTCAACGTTCAATTTTCTAAGGCAGCGTGGCTTGCAAACTTTCCTTCAGTTCCAAGTATGAATGCAGCAATGGTGGACAGCAAAAGAAAATTTAGGCAAAGAAAACAGAACTGTTTTGTCCCTGGAGTAAAATGACTTCAGCAGAAAGATGGAGGATCATCTGTCACAGCTTCATATGTCTTAGAACAGCAGTATTCCTCCTTGGTTTTGTTAAGAAACTGCAGGTACAGTGCTTACTACTCTTCAAAATTCTTTTCTTTTTCTGTCTTGCTTGAAGTGGTAAGGTTTTCTTCTTTCTAATTCAAAGAGGAGATAAGGTAGGATTGGGTTTTTCCTCTCCTGTGGAAGATCATGGATTGTTTTATCCTTTGGGGGTCATGAGGTGCACACCCAGCACTCTGCAAACAGCTGTCAGAAGGGAATCTCAGTCTCTTGAGATTGCTACAGATTCGGTAGGCCTGGTTTTGTTGGGAGAGGGGCTCCCAGGCCTTGGGAGGTGGTTCCAGCTGCACCCGGCGGGGATCCCTTGGAGAGCCTTTGTAGGCTGCCCAGCAGTGGCTCTGCCCCCCAGCTGCTCAAGGCAGAGGACAGGCAGCCCAGAGACCAATGAATGCATGTGCACTGACTGAGCCCAAAAGGGGATTGGAAGAACTTACCAACCACAGTCAACAGCCAAAAGGGAAACAGCGACAAAATCTGCCAGGATGGGGCCAGCCTGTGAGATGGGAGGGCAGCCACCAGCCATCAGCACCGCTCTCCCCTCAGAGTCAGGGTCTGCGTGGAATGGGATTGCGTTTCCTAACCTTTGCTAGGGGATCTTTTTACAGATGAGGCTGCCAAGCCTAAAAGGAGCAGAGATCACACTCTGCTGCCTCTGTGTGTTAATGCGCTCGGTCTCACTCTTCTGCTGCAGAAACAACTCCAAAATTCCTCACTTTGTTCCCAGAACTGAGATCTTTCCCTTGCTTTGCCAAGGCGAACAGTCTGAGAAAACACAGTGTCTTGTCATCCTCCACTTCTGCTGTCCCAAGACCAAAGCTATTGGTCAGGTTCCACTCTAGAGGCACTGTTGTACTTTGCAGCCTCTTTTTGCCTGGTTTTTATATTTTTTCCTGAGGTCACAACCACTCTGGAGGCTCTTGTGAGCAGTTTGCTGGTACAAGCCTGGCCTGCAATGGGCGCACTAGATTTTGGGGGGCACCACCAGAGGGATATAGAGCTATGAACCTGCCTGCGCCTCTCACCCCAATCTCAAGTGGACGGCACAAAGCTTTGGACAGGAATACAGGCAGAGACGGGTCAGCACTAAGCTACATTTTCTACCAAAACTGGATACTTTCTCTTTTTCCCACTGCTGCACGCTGTGAATTCTGTAGGGTGATATCTCCAGCTACACATATTACAGCAACTAGTAGAGCTAAGCCCTCCCCTAGATCTGACACTGCTGCAACAAGACATCACAAAAGCCATAAATGTCACCAAAAGTCTAAAGAAAGTAATGGTACAAAGGGGAAAACAATTCAAATGTCATTAAGACTGCATCACGACTTTCATGAAGAGGAACAGACTGATAGAGAAGCAACAGCATTTCCTAACCTACAATAATATTATTTCCTTTGAAATTAATGAAATGGTAATGCAGCAGAGATGCTACAGACACTGCAGAGCTGACACAGACTACCTGTGGAACTGACACCCAAACCCTGAGCCTAGCCCCAACCCTAATAACTCCAACCCTAACTGAAACCCCAACACTAATAACTCTAATCATGGAATCATAGAATGGCTTAGGGTGAAGTGCCATGGGCAGGGCTGCCTACCATAAGACCAGGTAGCCTGGGGCCCCATCCAAACTGGCCTTGAACACCTGCAGAGATGGGGCATCCCCACAGACAGGCACCACCATTGGTGCTCTCCAGGCAAACCCTGAGCATAACCCTTTGGGCATAATCCTAATGCTAACAAAATTAACACTAATCCAAACCTGAATCCTGACTATAATAACCCTAACGTTACCTCTAACTTCAGTACTCTAAGCATAACCCTAAAATAAAGGTAACCCTAATCTTAACCCTCACCCTAAACCCACCCCTATCCCTAAACTCTAATCCTACCCCTGATGCTAATAACCCTAACCATGATAAACCTAACTCTAAACCCTAACACTAACTCTAATACCCCTGTCCCTCTACCCAAACTCTAACCCTCACTCTAATAACTCTAACCCAGGCCAAGCACGGCTATGAAGTCCTGCAAAAGGAATATGTGTTGGCTTTGCAAGTCAGCATTACATAAAAACCTCTGAAAAACCACAGCAGCCTCTCCCCTATGAGAATGCCTTTTTTTCCCTCTGCTTTCCTTGCAGACAACATGGCTGGATTAAGAGACCGAAGCAAGAATGTGTAAGGATGCTTCCTAGAATGCTCCTGCAGCCTTCCACAGCACAGGAACATCCCGTGTCTCACCAGCTCAAGACTCATCTGAAAAAAGAAAGGAAGAAAACCAAAACTATTTCCCAGGCATATTCTGCATCACCAACTAGGTAAGGAAGGAACTGAGGCTCTGCACTCACATACAGCATGCCATTAATCTTAGCAAATGGCAGGAAAACGTTAAAAGTTTGAGATCAGTGCAGCTTTCATATGCTTAATCCTGGAAATAAAATGAATCCTGGTTGTTACACAGAGTCAAAATGCCTGCAGTACTTCCCAGCAAACCACAAGGATCACCTAAACTACTGGCTTCCAGACTGAAGTCTTCTTTCTCGTTTCTACCCACTGCACATGCTACTCACGTTCAGTTTCTTGTTGTGTCCTAACAGTCACAATTTAACATATTTTAAACAAAAAATACCCTGGCAGATGCAACAGGCTGCTTAGTAATAAAATCTATTTCTTTTTGTAGGCAGCAGGAGGCTTTTTTTTCCAAGTCTTTCTCTGTAAATGTTTCCCACCAACACTCTGTTGCTCTCAGCACATGCTGGAATCTGCCTACACTTCCATTTCTTGCTTCTCATACAGGATGACTGACTGGACTATAAAAAGGAAGGAAAGCACTGTGGCCTGGGGCCACCTGATACCACGTTTCCTTTTAAAGGACTTCTGTTCCTCCAGCTTTTTTAGGCTGAGTGGGGAAGAACTTCTGCACGAACGCAGGGCACGGGCTGACTGGCTGAAGCAATACAGAGACCCAGGAGACACACATTGAGCCGATCAGAAAGCAAAAATTTAATACAAATCAAATGCAAGAGAACCTTTGGGCTCCCACAGCTCTTTTCACCACCACCCAAAGTTTAGCATACAGCTCAGTAATTCTTGGGCTACTTAAAAGTGAGCTCAGAAACACAAATCTTTCCCTGACTGGAAACTATTGCTCTAACATGCCTAGGCTTGAACAAATCAGCAACTGCTGTTCTCTTCTAAGTCAACACCTGTCAATTAAATAGATGAAAGAGCAAGGATGATTCTCACTCATTTTCGTCCCAGATTCTGAACTTTTTTACTCTATGAATGGCAGTAATTACACACTGCCCTGTGCTTCCTTGACACTGCATGGCACAGCTGTCAGGTGGAATGGATTCATCCAGACAGCCGGTGCACTTAGATTGCCTCCCCTCTTCTCCCTCTGCAGAAACTGGGTCTTCTTCACAGAGCATTCCATTTTGTGTGTGCTGCTTTCTCACTTGCTAAAAAAGGCCTCCTCTACTTGAAGGCAACAGGAGAGTGGGAAAACCTCACAGTATAAAAGACATTCTTAAGTTAACAGAAATTCTGCAGGAAGAAAAGCAGAGCCTACCAGACTCCATGCTGCAAAGGTGACTTTCTACAGTGTGAGCATGGAGGACTACTGGAGTAGATTGAGTCTTGGGCTCGTATGCCAGGTTGGCAGATCTGTTTTGCACCTCTGAAGGCACTCAAAAGGAGAATCCTTTCCATAGGAAATAAACTGGGATTCCTCTGTAACATTTTCTATAGCACAGCATCCTTCTTAAGGAGCTTTAGCAGAGTTTTTAGCCATGGTTTCAATCTAAAAGATTGTCCTAGAAGAAATTAAAGCGAAACTCTTCTTGAGAAACCGTGAATTTGAATGTGCCTGTGTCAGGGGTGTTGGCTGACTCTGGAAGGGATTCTGCTGATCCTTGGCTTTTACTGCCTGCTCCGGGGCGCTTCCTGATGACCTGGCATTTCTTGTTCTGCACTTCCACGATCTTGGCAGATTTTGCATCTTAAAGAGGGGAGAAAACAGCAGGAAGGGATTTTATTCACCTCATATGGCAAGCTCCCACACTGCAGAGCAGTATGTAGGGCGGGAGCAGACTCCCTTCCTCTTTAATTTCCCCCTGCATGCAAAGTTTCCCTACCACATAGCATAAGCTTCAGCTGTTTGCACAGCTCCTCCTCCATCTTCTTCCTGTAGTCTCCAAATATGTTTCTCATGATCTGACGTTTCTTCACCAGCGGAGCCTTGTCACTGCGCAGCGTCCTGATCGCACGGAGAGCCTCCTCAACTGGAGCAGCACAAGGGAGAAACACCTCAGTTTAAGATTCTCTGAACCCTCCAGCAAGGGAGATTTCTCGTTTATTAGAATACTCACCCTGCTTGGGAGTGGATTTCTGTGTCTTCAGGCCAATTTCCAGTTGTTCCACACACCAATCCACCTCTTTCTGCAGCTGGTCATCTGACTGCTATGGAACAGAGTGAGCACGAGGAAATAAAGCACCCCAAAACTAGAGCAGCAGTTGCTAAACGGGAAAAAATCAAGCTGCATAAAGGCAGGACCATCCCGAATTTCAGGCTCTGGAGATTACAAGCTTCAATACAACTCCCCTACTGTCTATATTTTCACTGGATAAACTTAAAGCACTGGACAAACATTTAGTTGCAATTCACTGTCTCTGTCTGATGGATTTAATAGCTGGCTGTCACTCAGATGACACAGTGGTCAGGACCATCCATAAGAAAGAAGCTGTAAATTCAACTTATGGATGAGAGGAATAAGCATTAACAAAACAAAAAGCTACCCAAAAACTTGCCCAAAATCCAACAGTAAGCAATGGACAAAATCAGAAGCTGAGCCCTGGTGTCTCAGCCCAAGTACTTGCTCAACCAGAAATGCATGAAGTCAAGGGAGACAAAGCCCCCAAAGATGGAAGTCCTAACAAACAAAGCCAGCCAGTGGAAAGGAAAGGAAAAGAGCTGCATCCTACAGCTGAAGCACAAAAGTTCTCATGCTACCTCTTCCTCTTCCTTACAGCAGTCTCTTTCCAATGAAAGGGATGGGATTTGCATCACTTTCAAATCTTTTCAACTCTCTGATATTCAGCAGTGTTTACTGGCAGGGCTGTTGTTCAAGAAGCAGATAATGCATACATATAATACAACTTCAGTCTAGAACATTAAAAGCAACTTTCTTGCAATTTTATGTCTCAGAATTGCTCAGCTGGCAGGGTTTAATGATAACAACTACAACAATGCTGAATAGAAAAATAAAAGGAAGACCTGGACCATAGCAGAACATCAGAAAGTCTCACGATGTGTTCAGATCAGAAAATCTTAATGGTGCCTTCACATAACTTGCAGCTTCAGCTGAACTTGGGCCTGCTCACGGTGGGAGCCTTCCCGAAAGTTCTCAGGCTTTGCACTGCAACGTGCCATAGCCAAGGCTGCACCACCTCAGAGCTTTCCTGTGTGCATTCTATGTGCATTTCCCATGTGCACTCATCCTCCCTGATAACGTGCCAGTCAAGAGCACGGTGCCTCCTTCGGTGCCCACTGACACCAGCATGGTACTGGCTGATGACAGTTCTTGGTTTATGTTAAATAAAACATGACACCCAGGATTAGGATTACAACTCTAAACATCAAATGCTTCAGCACAGGTCTGAAACAGAAAACAAAGGAACGTTACATTTGTTTCCATTGATCAGGCTCAACAGGGAGAAAACTGCAGCTCCAAGTCAGCAGCAATCCCTGTCTTTCACATTCACCTCAATTCATGTCACATACTAACTGCACTGACATTAAGTTTCTTTTTTACTGAAGGATTAAAATTATAGGATCCCATCAATATTTGAATACCTGAGAGGTCTCATCCTGATGGGCTGCATCTTTATTCTGGCATCCATTAGCTTCCACCTTTGCCTTCCTCTCAGTCTCAGTTTCTTTCATGTCTTTTTTACTGACAGATGCATTTTGTTTCTTCTTCTTTTTCTTCCTTTGTGCAGCTCCCTCTGATGCTGATTTCTCTATCACTGTGCTATCCCCAGGGGCACTCACTGGCTTGGACATCTTTAGTGTGACATGGCTTTCATCGTCTCTGGGCACAGCACTCGCAATTTGATCCATGTCAGATTTCTCCAATGCTGAAATCTGCACCACATCTACTGATTCAGCACGCACTGCATTATCCAGCACCTCACGATCTGCTGCACTCTCCATACGTTGGCTGGCTGGAACTAATGGGACCAGAGGACAGTCTTCTTTAGGAATGGCAAAGCTGAAAGACAACTTGGGTTCTTGGCCAGAGGCAGCAAAACTCAGAGCTCCACTGCAGAGTTCTTTTGCTCTGTGGTTCTTACACTGGTTTGCATCTGCTCAGCAGCGCTGACACCAGGGACTGCTTCCAAAGGTGCACCAGCTGCTTCTGGGTCTGCTTTACAAAGCAAAAAATCAAATTGGGTGTTGTAGTGAGATGATGTGAACCCCTCTGGTTTTGCCTTAGAAATCTGGTCTGACTGTTCCCCATATGACATACCTTCTGTAGCCTGCCCACTGCCTTGCTGTACTTCAACAAGTTTTGTGCATAGAAAAGAAAAATAATGTTCCTATCATTATGACTGTTTCCTACTATGAGGATGCCATTGCTACTCCCCCTGTAAAGCACTGCCAGAGAAGCAATCCAACCCAAAGCTGTGAGATGGGAAATTCACAGTAAAGAGCCAAACAGCACCACTCCCCAGAGGGACTGCACAAGCTCACCTGCCTTCTTTGTGCTCTTCCAGTCCTCAGCTCTTTCAAGATGACAATCCCCAAGCACACAGTTTATCACTTCTTGCTTCTTTATAAAAGCAGTCCCATGGGAGCACAGGACCTTGAGAACATGCTCTGTCTCTTCTGCTGCACTCAAGAAAAAGACCGAGAGAAACAAGAAACGGGTTATGGTGGGCCCTAAAAAATCTCCCATGAGACTCCAATGACCGAGTCTCTTCTGAACGTGTACTGTGCTTATACCACCTCTGATTCATGACAGACAGTTAGATGAAAATAAGCTCCAAGTGCTTCTAGGAGCTGAAACAATACCATGAAACATCCTTAACAGAAAAAAAAAAATAGATCCTCTAGCATCTTACCATACATATGTGAAGAATCTTACAGTGAGGCAAATGTGCAACTAACAGCACTGAGGCTACTGACTGCTTAACAACCTCGGAGCAACTGAGAAATCCAGGAGCACGGTGTCTGTTCTCTGGGAAAACTGGGGAAGAGCTGACTGAGCAGCGAGTACACCCTAAAACACAGGACTCTTGCTTGAGGCTCACACAAACCAGCCAAACAAACGGTATCTTGCAGGAGCACTGCAGATGTAATGCTGAACATCCCACGTTATGAAAGGAGTAATGGCACTGCATGAGGCAGAAGCACCTCAACGGGGCTGTGGTCACCCAAAAAAGTGGGACGTATCTTCACAGCCCCTGGGTGTCAGCACCCTGAGCACACACACCTCCAGCTGAGTTTAGCTGGCCGCAATCAAGGACTGCTTGCCACTAAGAGCAATTACAAAGGGAGAACTAGAAAAACCCTCAGAGAAAGTGCTCCTCCCCATTTGTGAGCTATTTTCGTTGAAGATCTCATAGCTGGCCTGCCTGAGCTATGCTGCACATCATTGATCCAGGCCATGATCTCAATCCTGATGGGATCTGCCCCATCACCACAGATTTCTATGGCAATCTGCCACTCCACAGCCTGGCTACCTTCAGCAATGTTGCTTTGTTCTCCTCCCTCAGGCACTGCACAGATGGGCCCTTTCCAGCCAAGTCTGCCCCTCCCTGCCTTGCTGTGAACAGCTTCTAGAGGCCATTCCTGCTGCCCCATGGCAGGAGCTTGAAGGTTGAAGCACAAGACATGGGGGTGAGCAAGCACCCTGACGCCCCAGCACAGTGAGTGGTTAATTACTGCTCCATCCTCAGGTGCACCAGCAAACACTCTGCTAGGCATCTTACAAAGGGCAACCACGCTTCTTCCCTAGACACTGAGTGTGAGCCATTCGTAGAAGCAGGACACGTCTTCACATGTTAACAGCTTCTCCTGAAAAGCATTTCACTGATTTTATCTTTCCCCTTCAAACCAGACAAACGAAGCCCAAGCCTCATAAACTTATTGGTGTTTAAGGGCCTGTTTCTGATTCTGTATTTCTCCAGGTCCAGTAAACTAAAGTAGAGCTGTAGCAGAACCAACTGACAGGCAACCGGAGATGAAATAAGAGACAAGGCAGAACACAGGGCGATCCAAAGCCATAGGGAAAAGAATAAAGCAGCTTACAGACAGCTCTGGAAGTTCAACGCCTTAATCACAGACCAGCTTCGTGCCGTTTCGCATTAGGAACAAATCCCGTGTCACGCGAGAACAGAGCGGAGGAAAGAAAGAACAGAACAAATCTGGCCACGCAAGGCTGGAATTTGGCTGCGGATGGCGAAAGAAGCAACGCACCTGGGGCCGGGGCCACGATCTGCCCACGGGAGCGCTCGGGGAAGGGCAGTGCCTGGCTCCAGCGGGACAGCCGGCACACCGCGTGTTGAGCCCCGCAGCCCGGCACCGCGCCCCGCCGCACCCCGCGCTGCGCCGCTGTCCGCCGCCAAAAGCGTCCCCGCGGCGCGCCGCGCCCTGCGCCTCCGTTCCGCACGCGCCTCCGTTCCGCCCCCGCCCTCAGCTCCATCCCCTCCCCCCGCCCGCTCCCCGTTCTTCAGATTTCCTTTTATTTTTATGACACTTTTTATTCGCATTGCTTTTTTTCCACCCTCCTCCCTCTCCCTCCCCGCATCACCGCCGGCAGCCGAGGCACAGCGCTTGCAGCGCAGCCCCGGGTGCCGCTCCCGCATCGCCCCGTCCCGGGGGCTGCAGGCGTGATGTACGCGAGGCTGGCGGCTGGGCGGCAGGCAGGACGCTGCACGAGGCCCCGCTGACGGCGGGAGGCTCCGGAACGGCGTCAGTCCTGGCTCGAAATGCCCAAATGTCAGGGAAAGAGCTGACAGCCAAATACGGAAGAAGACAATAATGAGCAGAAGATTAATGAGCTATCAGCAACGGCCTTGAAAGGCCAGAAGGTGGCTGCAGTTCTCCCTTAGGAGCCACGGGGCTCTCTCCCTCCAGCTCTGAGCTGCCTACTGCCCATCTGGATGCACCCCTGAAGCAAGTGTCCTCCTCCTCCCAGGGCTGGAGGAGGCGGGGGCTGTCCTGAGCCTGCAGAACCCAGCCAGGCGGCACACAGAGCTGAGAGAAACGTTGATTTCCAGGGCACGACAGCATCTCTGTCTGCAGACAAAATCATATGCTGTGGGCTCCACGCCCATGCAGAGAAGAAGGCACAAAGGACCAGCAATGCCTCGTTTTCCTGGGTTTGATCTCTGCCCTGAGGATTCAGCCCACACCGATTCACAGCCCCGCAATGGCACCAAGTCAGTGAGCTGCACCAGCCTTGCTCCAGGGAACACAAGAGGGAGGGCCGGTCGGTCAGAATGTGGTCCTCAGCTTCCACCGACACAACAGGAACTTTGTAATGGGAAGAGCTGCGAGCTGAACTGGTGGCTGCTGACATCCTGCCAGCTACAGCTGCCCAGGAGCAAGGCAGCAAAGAGAGGGATGGATATGGCTTGAGTCTGCCTTAGGCACAGGCAGGTTGTGTGCTGCATAAACAGTGCAAACAGCTTCACACCGCTGTGAGATGGACACGTGAGCACCTGCCTGCGGACTCCACACAGGACAGCTGTGCAGTCTTTCAGGTCTCTCCAGAGACTGACAATCCCTCCTGATTTGCTTGTTCTCCCCACTCCACCAACTGAGCACCAACAGAGTCATTGCAGGCATGGCTGTAACTGGAAGCAGTGGTTGCGCTGGAAAACACAGCTCTTTGGTATGAGGCTCCTTCAGGGGAGTTGCAGGAAGGAAGGGAAAAAAACAAAACAAAACAAGAAAAGAGAAGTGGGGTGGTTACCAAAGCTGCTAATCACAGTGCCAGGATGCCTTGGAAGGCACAGGCCAGCCCAGTGTCTTAGAACCCTAGGGCATCCCGTCTCCAGACTTCCTCGCCTGCGATGTACGTGGCTTGCACGTGCAGGCTATCATCCAGCATCAGGAAATCTGCACCAGATAGGAGAGAAAAGAAACAGCTGTCAGAGGAACAGAGGAAGAGCAACTGGGGCAGCTGAAGCTGGCTCAGAGGAGCTGGGCTCTAGGTTTGCCTCCACACTAAGCAGTTTCTCCCCACTCCAGAAACAGGGCAGGACTGCAGTGTAGAACCATCCTTGCTCTGCTCCAAGCTCATCTGAGATGTGGGATCCTCTCCAAAAGGCTCATGAAGCATCATCAGCACCCACAGGAAAAAAAATCACCAAAGCAAAAGTCCAAAGCAGATCCTGGGCAGAGTGAGGGTCCCCACTCTGGAGGGCCTCCAGTGAAGCAGCAGAAGCATCCTGCATTTATAGCAGGCCCTACTTTTCTCCAGCATGCAGAAACCCTTCCCACCATCCCCATAACAGTACCTGCATCAGAATCATAATTCAGGGTCCCCTTTCTGTCTTCAATCCCCAAGAGCTGGGCAGGATGCAGAGATGCTGCCTCCAGCGCAGTCTCCACTGAGCACCCTTGGAGGAAGAAGTGTTAGTGCAGCAAACAGCCTCATCAGCAGAGCAGCCCAGACCTTGGTTAAGGCAACTGGTGGCACTGCGGGGACCTTTGTGACAACCAAACCCATGCACAGGGCCCCAGCGTCTTTGTTGGCACTGTCTGTGTCCTGTCCTGGTACAGTAGAGCACTAACACTGATCTGACTGCTACTGCCCTGAACTACAAGGGCAGGAGGAGCTGGGAGGCCCAGTCACAGATGGCTGGAGCTGGGGAGGGGAAACATCTCTTAGGGAAACAGTAGGAAGAAGAGAACTGATTACTTAAGGTACAGGTGGGGAAAGTCGTTCACTTTTAGGCATGGGAAAAGAGCAGAACAGTTCAACCCTACTAAGTGCTGCAGGTTACAATGAAGCACCCCTCCTAAAGGTGTTTGTCTCCAAGGCCAGTACCACTGATGTCAGCCCTTCTCCTCGTGTCTCGGACAAGAGGGGACATCTATAGCTGAGCAGACACAGCTGGCAAGAACAAGACTTCTTCACAGGGAGGAACAGCTTGTGGACAACGCTCACCCACCTGTAGCTTCCAGAAAGTGTCGCACACAAGTGTCCATGGTTGCCACACTACCACTCAGGGTCTTTGTGCCTGGGAGAGAACAGGACAGCACTGAGCAGAACCCCAAAGGGGCAGAAATCCTGGGTCAAATGAGGAGCAAGTTGAAGGGCTCTCAGCCACTGCTGAGGAGTAACAGAAAGAGGCAAGAGCATTCGTGCTGGCAGTGAAGGGAGATGCATGAAGATGTCACCATGCAGCTCCCCTCTTAAGACCAGCTGGACTGGTTGAAACTCTAGCTCACAATGCAGGCACCTGCTGCCAGAGACAGGGAGGGAAGTGGCAAAGGAACAGCCCTCCAGAATATCTTCCCAGTCTCCAGCTGTTTGCAGATTAGGGAGCTTACTTAGCAGAAAGTGATGATGCTGCAGTAAAGGCAAGGGACAATAAATAACAGTGGGATTTCTTTGTCCTTTCTGACCATGCACCAATTTCTAGCATCCACCCTACTTGGCAAGGAGATCAAAGGTGCTGCAGACAAGCTAAAAATTGTCAAATTCCTCCTCACTCCAACAAGACAGGTCAATTTTCCTTTTCACGAGATGCACCACTCTCCTCGCAATCAAGTTATGGCAGAGATATTAAATGACCAGGCAACAAAACCCAAGATGGCACAAGCGCTGCTTCACGCTGACGAGCTCTGCAAGGTGTGCTGAGCTCTCCAGGAATAGGCACGAGTGATGTGACCGTGTGCAGCTCTTTGGCAAGAGGCACCTACCTGCAATGTAGGTGTTGAGGCCATCGATCTCCACCACCTGCTGGCCCAATGTATGCCGACCTGGTGCCAGCCCCATGCCAGCAATAGCGTCCGTCACCAGCACCATGCCTGAGGAATGCAAGGAAACAGGCTGGAGCAGCTTTGCAGCTAATCCCACTGCGTTGTAATCTGAGCTCTGTGCCATGCCAACCCCCCCTGAGAGGTACCAAGACATCTCCAGCCCCATCCAGCTGAGGTGACAGGCTGCGGATTAAGACTTCTTTCAGACAGCACGATAACAAGCCACGGCAGTCGTGGGAGATGGCACAGCATTTGTGATGCTGGTGACACCACGCTGCTGCCACTGTGTGGGCACAGTATGGCCTACCTTTGGGGTGGGCTCGATGGGCGATCCGCAGGGCAGCAGGGTTGGTGTGGATGCCATCAGAGATCATGCCGTAGAAGACCCTCCGCCCAGCAGGAATCTTATCACTTGTCAGCAGCCCCACGATCCCAGGGTCACGATGGTGGAACTACCCAAAGTGGGAGAGGAAAAGATGATGGGTGTCACACCAGGACTCGCGGGCTGAAACCCTTCCTGCTTCATCTCTATCAAACAGTGCCTGGCAGCTGGGCACTTCATCCATTATCAAGCGTAACCAGGCAACCCCTCCAATTTCAAGAGACTGCTACAGCTTTGACTCTCTTAAGTCAGGCAGTAGAAGCATGAAGCCAGAGGTTCTGTGCTGAAATTCCACTGCAAGGCCTGGTACAAAACAAGTTGATGGTGCAAATAAGCGTTTGTGGGGAGCAAGAGAGAAAGCAGTGAAAGCAATGCTGGCACAGGACAAATGCCCTTGGCAACTCACCGGCAGCATGGCATTGAAGAGGTGAGTGATGAAGGTAGCACCGTGCTGCACAGCCTCCTCAGCCTGGGAGAGGTTAGCCACCGAGTGACCTGGAACAGAGACCGCTGCGTGATTCTTCTGCTCATCTCTGCATTTATTTTCCCAGAGGAACACCCAAGAGTAAAGATGCTCTGTTAGGGCTCTGCTCTGAAGCTCCACCCTGGGCTTAGGTGAGCACCAGCCTTGTTGCTGAGCTGTCTGACCACAACCACTGGGGACTGGCAGGAGGGGATTCACCTGAACACACTGGTCACAACAGTCACAAACGCTGCCTTGCTCCTACAGGCACTGGGGAAGAGTTGCCTTCTGGCTGGGCTACAAGTCCTAGGATTTGCATTTCTGCACTCCTCAGATATTTCAAGGCTTTATACAGAGAGGTGTCAAAGACGTAGGGAGACAGTGGGCAGTTCTCCAAGAAATGAAATGTTGATAAAACAAAATCCAGAAAGAAAATGTTGTTTTCCCTAACATGGACAGCAGATCTCTTGCCTTTCTTTGATTGTCTTTACGTGACTGTGAGACAAGATATCTCTGCTGCACAAATACCCAACTGAATTAAGGTTCAGTTTCACCTTGAAGAAAGGGTGGTGGGAGTGGTGGGAGAGGTCTTCAGCTCTTCTAGTTGTATAACTGAGTTATCAAGACTCAACAGCAACCTTTGGAAAACAGTATCGCCTGTCAAATAAGGTCTAAAGCTGCTGAACTTCAGAGTTTGAACCCTTCCAAGTAGTCAGCCTGGAATTACATCCTTATTAAACTGAACGTTAAAAAAAAAAAAAAAGAAAGAAAATTATGACTGCTGTTCTTTCCTGTGTTTTCCCAGCACCAGTGCTACCCTGTGCAAAACTACAGGAGCCCTTCGACCAACCTTTTGTTTGCAGACAGGGTGACAGATTTACAGCATCAACTGAGTTCCCTGTATGTCACACATCTGTCACCCTCCCTGAAGGCCAGGAAAGGGGTGACATAAAGAGACACCACCCAGCCCAGCCACACAGAGACACCAGCAGAGATATCACAGCCCTGGGCTGCCCGACCCATGCTGCATGTGACACGGACAGACCGAGCCTCCCCCCAGCCCTTACCGAGTGAGACACAGATGCCTCGCTTGGTGAGTTCCTGGATCACCTCGTTGCTCCTCTTTATCTCTGGGGCCAAGGTGACAATGCGGATGCAGTCCAGGGACCCGTAGGTGGCAAGCAAGTCCTGGAAGGCATTTTCCTCGAAGGTGCGGATGCAGTGCTCTGGGTGTGCTCCCTTTTTCTCCTTGCTGATGAATGGTCCTTCCAGGTGAGCCCCTGCTCAAAGGGAACAGAGTCATCTTTCTTCCTCTTCCAACCAAGGAACAAGAAACCTGCCGTGTCCATCCTGCTCCAGCCAAGCTCTTCCCATTCTCCCACAGTAAAGCAGAGTTCAGGTAAATCAGAGCTCAGTACAGCAACAGATGCAGCACTGGCCAGCCCCATAGCCGTTACTCTGTCAAACCCCATAGGGCTGAATGCAGAGCACACTGCAAAGGCTGGGGACAGGTTCAGGGAGACAGCAGGCCTGTGCCCACCTATGTATCCCTGCCACCGAGAGAGCTTCAGCTCCCAATTCTTCTGTTCCTAAAACAGCTTCTTTTTCTTAAGAAGGAAAAGGATAAACAACAGGCACCAAATAGGACAGTGACAAAATCACTTACCCAGGATACCAGCTCCGTGAGCTCCACCATTTCTTACACTGATCTGGGGAAGAATCTACAGAAAGGGGTTAGTCAGACACCTCACATACACAGCACTGCCAAAGCAACCCAAACCTCGGGCTCCCACAGAGCTGCTGCACCATCAGAAACGAAAAGCCAAGCAGCTCACAAAGGAAAAGCAAGCTGCAAGCCCCTCTGTGCAAGGTAGCTACCTGCTGGCCTGGGAAACACTGCTGCCTCAGTGGTGTAAAGCTTAAGGGCAAGAAACCTGGGGCTGTTCAGGTCCTTATGTCCACAACTCATCCACTATGGCAGCCGTCTCATTGTCTGAAGATGAGGCTGAGGAACCAGCCTTGGCTCTCTTGTACCAGCATCAGCTCTTTATCACCCTAAGGATAAGAGGAGGAGAAAGTCACTCACCTGGTGGTACACGGATGGAGGGGATGTCACCAGGGTGGGACAGAAGGAGGTCACTCCATGGGAGAGTATTTTCTGACCGACCAGGTCAATCCCTGATCTGAAATCATCCGTAGCCAGGGAGAAATCCACCCCAAAGCCTCCTGCACCATGAACAAAACAAAGGTGAAGCCGCAGGCTCTGCAGCAGCCAGGCAGTGCTGCCCAGAGCCCCATCTCCAGCCCGGGCCCAGCAAGGCACTGGGGCTGCACCTGACGATTCCCAACCCCAAAATGCTGTGGAACCATTTGGGGTGAGCAGAGCAAGCCTCCAGCTTTGCACAGCACAGCCTGGAAGCAAAAAGGCTTCACCAGCACTTCTGCCCCAAATTCCCGAAGTTCTGACAGCGCAAACCCAGCCAACGCCATCCATTCCCCCCAGCACAGAGAAAGGGGCAGCGGCGTGCACCTCACCGTTGATCTGCACGTCGATGAAGCCCGGGGCGAGGATGCAGCCCTTGCAGTCCAGCTGGACGTCGGCAGAACCCTTCTCGTCGAAGAAGAGTTTCTCGGGGTTGAGGATCTTCCCCTCCCGCACCCACAGATCCTCCCTGCGGGGACACCACGCTCACACCACGCTCACACCCTGCCCGGGGCCCACGCACCCCGCGCGGTCCCACTCACCGCTGCAGGCGGCGGCCCCGCAGGAGGCGGCAGTTGGTGAACTGCACGATGGGGGCGTCCGACACGGATTTGTTGGACGGCATCGCCGGGCCGAGAGTCGACCCGCAGCGGGGCTGCGCGAGGGCAGGGCGGGACCGCGGAGCCGGCGGCCGGGCCGGGGCCGGGCTCCTCCCAGCGGCCCCGGGCCCACGCTCGGACCAAAGGCCGCAGCCGGGCCCAGAGCCCGGGACCGCCGGCGGAGGGCGGCGGGCAGCGGGGAGCGGGGCGGGGCGAGGAGCCGCGCTTACCCCGGGGCACCGCCGGTCCTCTCACGTGAGCGCTCCGAACGGCCGCCCCGCCCCGCCCCGCCCCGCCCCGCACATGACCGGCCCAAGGGCGCCGCCATCTTGGGGAGGTGGCAAAGGGCCGCCGCCATCTTGGGGAGGTCGCGGTTTCTCCACAGCCGCCGGCGGGCAGGGAGCTGAATTCAAATGTCAAAAGTCACAGAATCACAGAATGGCTGGGGTTGGAAGGGACCTCAAGGATCATGAAGCCCCAACCCCCTGCCACACGCAGAGTCACCAGCCTCCTCATTTCATACCAGCCCAGGCTGCCCAGGGCCCCATCCAACCTGACCCTGAACACCTCCAGGGATGGACGGGGCATCACAGCCTCTCTGGGCAGCTGTTCCAGCACCTCACCGCTCTCACAGCAAAGAACTTCCCCTGACATCCAACCTCAATCTGCCCTCCCTCAGCTTCAAACCATTTCCCCTCATCCTGCTGTTATCCACCCTTTCCAAGAGAACATTTTGAGGTCTTTCCCAACCATAACAGCTCTGCAGTGCCACATCTGAGCTCCTGTGGAGGCTGGCAGAAGCGTACGCTGGTGTTCCAGTGCAGTGTGCTTCAGGGCTCTTGAGAAGGCGTGCAGAGCACCAGTAGGAAGGCTGTGATTCCTGGGGAATCCCACCTCAAACACAGCATTTCAAACACGGCAGGCTGGAAGAAGCGGGAGGCAGCAGGCACCCATCTCCTGCACGGACCACGGGAGCCGTCTCCTCGTTACCTCATCCCACACAGCTCCCGCTGCCTCCTGCCTTGTGCTCAGATTATGAACGCTTGGGGCAGAGTCTTTTTGCCATTGAATCTGTGCTGATTCCAGTTTAGAGCCCTTTAGTGTAGAAGGTGGCCCAGAGGATCAATGCCAAAGGACTGAGGCAGCCCTGGTGCCTTCATCTCCGCAAGTTGGCTGTGTTCCCAGCCCTTGTATCACCCAGACAAGGCTGCTGCAGCCCTCAGTGAGCCATGCATGGCACAGCTCCCGGCCCATCCTTGCTGTCAGAGCCCTGTCACATCTCCATGCTGTTCTCCCCAGCACTGCTGAGCGAGCAGCCCTATGCCAACGCCAGTTAAATGGCATGGAAATGTTACATTCGAGTATTCATGTTTTATCAGGCAAAGTTCAAAGGCCTGGGAGGTCAGACAAGAGGGATTAGTGGTTCCTAATGGCTTTTAAGTCTGAATTTGTGAATAAGTAACTCTGGCTTGAATGGCTGCAGCCGCTCATTCCTCCCCAGGGAATGAGGAGTCTGCCTGGAGGAGCTGCTCTGCTTTGTCCTCGTGCATTGCACCCGCATGTGACTGCCTGCTGCAGGCATGTGTACGGCGTGGGGCCGTGCTCACTGTGAAGGGAAGTAGTGCTGCAGGCTGTGATGCATCCGTCCTGCTCGTGGCCATTTACCTCCTGAAAGGGAACCATAGGCAGATGCAGGTCTGCTGATTGCTGAAGGAGTGGCTGATCCTCAGCCCCAAGAGCTGGCAGTGTGCTGTAAATTGTGTAGCTGCTCAGAAATCTGGCTAGGCACAACGCTACACCACAATAACTACACGAACAAGATGAAACCATAATTGTTTATTGGCTTGGGCAAAGTAAGGTTTCCGGAACCCCTCACTTCGCTGTTCCGCTCTCAGCTTCAGGGAAAGAAAGTTAACTGTGACCTGGACATGTACGTCATTCCTTCTTTTAAATGTTACTTCTAAGCTGACAGCATTGCTGTAGGCAGGCTGCTCCGGTCATCTGACAAGTCTGCAGCAGCCTGGGAGAGAAGACAAAGCTATTCTGTGCCCTAAGTGCCAGCCCCGGGCTGTCCTCACCAGCACACCATGCCACCAGTGGTCCTTCTGATGTCTGCATCTCTGTGGGCAGAAGGGAAATCATGTCTGACCGCCATAATGTTAAACTTTGTTCTAATTAAAGCAGCATCCCCACCGAACTCTGTATTTACTCCTAGATGTCTGCTTGCAGACTTTCCCTTCCATTCTCTTTGCTCCATGTTGCTGCAGCAGTGTCCAACCAACACTCTTGCTCTCATTTTATCTAGTTCAGCGTCCCACAGCATTGTAGAGTCAATTACCTCGTCAAGAACTGTGTCTAAGCAGGGTGCTGATGTGAGCTCCTCTGATGAATCATGTTGAGAGAAGAAAAATGAAGTGAAATGTAATGGTCCATGAACGTAACATCCCCGTCTAGCCAGGAAGTTAATGTAGAGATCAGCATTTAATACTGTACTTATTCCATATGTCAGTGCTTGTCTGCACAACAAAGCTACCTTTCAGTGTCAGCAGGATGCCAGTAAAGGCCATTGAAATGGAGAATGATGTTAGTTTATCCCAAGAAAACTACACACAGCCTGGTTTGGGAATGTGAGGCTAGGAGCGGCTTCAGGCGGGTTTTACTCATGGTGGTTGAATTATCCATCCTCAGGGGCACCCAGCAGCATGTCAGTGAGAATGACTTGTGGCTTTAGTACGGCTAAAGAGACTCCAAAACCAGAAAATTAGAAAATGAATCCTAACAATGTATCTCAGGCCTGTTTATTCAAGCCAATAACTTTCTAAGGGCAGAAGCACCTTTCCAAACAGCTAAATTCAGATGTCAAAAGGCACACAGAGCACCCAAACGGCTTACAGCCAAACGGCATTTTCACATGCATGTACATTCTGACAGCATGTGTGACAGCATGTTGTGACAGCAGTTTTCCTTGGCCGTGGAAGAAACATCCAGGTAGTTACACGTGGTAACGTCCACTATAACAGAGCTTGCCATGGGGCCCAGCCTGCCAACAGCTTCACCAACCCTTTGGCAAAACATCTATGATGAAAGCCAGAAGCGAGCCACTGAATCTCAGCACTGGGAGATGGCCCTGACCTCCCTCTGTTCTGCTGCATGAACAAACAGAACAGCCTGCTCTGAGACAACAGCTATGGGAATCTGCCTCAGCAATGCTATAGGTGCGTTACCCAGCCCAATTTCATGTCACCCATCTGCTCCACTTATGGATTGTCCCTTTGGATGCTCTCTATTTCACAGAATTAAACCAACCCTGCCTTGCCTCACCAAGAATCACACGCTCCTCCTTTAATAAATGCATGCTCTTTCTCTCCACTGCCCCAGTAACAGGCTGAGGGAATCACAAGCAGTAGCTTCACTTGTTTTTCCCTTAGCAAATCATTTCTTTTTCAGGTCAAGTTATTTTTAACCTGGCTCAATTCCCAAATCAGATTCACTGCCTCGCCACAGGGAAAGCTGTAGCAGCACATTTGGGAGAAACGGGGGAGGCTTACAGATGTGAGCAAAGGTACAGGTACCAAAGCAAGGAGGGCTTAGGCTAGCTCTGCTGCCAAAATAAAGGCTTGTGGAGATGCAGATTTGGTTTCTCATTTTTCACGTGCATTCCCAAAGAGGTCTAAAAATTGTTCTAATGAACAGGGACCAGAGATGCTGCTCATATCTGTGAGCTGGACACCATGCTGACCTTGGGAACTCCGGGGGTTTCCTAAGATTAGCCCTCAGCCCGAGAGACAAAACCATTGGACCAAGGTGGTCATCACCCTCTGCTGCGTGAGGCCGTCCTGTCATCCTGCCCCCTCTGAATGAAGCTGGACACTGCATGAACAGCTAAATCCACATCACTGACAAAAAATAAAGTGCTACCTCCATTTCACTACAAAACTGCAGCGGAGACTGTTCAGCGTCACATTCAAACTAGAGTAAAGCTGGAAATGGGATCCAGATGTTCAAGGGCATCTCCAGCTTTCCCCTTACATACACACCTTTCTGCAGCTCTTACTGCTTGGTTTGGTTTACACTGTTCTGTTTGGCGCTGCTCACTTCGATCCCCTGTAATGCAGCAACCACAGGAACCCAGGGCACAGGAGCAGGGGTTTCACTGGAACAGATCTCCCATCCTTGCAGGCATTCAAGGCCAGGCTGGATGTGGCTCTGGGCAGCCTGGGCTGCTGGTTGGTGACCTGCACACAGCAGGGGTTGGAACTGGATGAGCACTGTGCTCCTTTGCAACCCAGGCCGTTCTGTGATTGTATAATTCTCCAATCAGGAGTTACTTTATTGCAATTAATTCTCAGATGCATTTGGATTTACTAAAGCAGTCCTAAAAAGCAGTCAGTGACCAACATAGGTAGGTTCTGCTTCTACAGCAGAGCATTAAATAATTTAAAAAATCACAGCATTTGGTGAGGAAAAAACCCCAACATACGAAAGCTAACAAAGCAAAAGGTCAGCAAAGCTCTTCCAACGCATTGTCTATGCTGACAGCATTGGAGAGCAGGCATCCCTCGCCTTTACCTAGCTTGAACCAACTGCTAATGGACATTACCCTCTGCTGCTGCTGCTGCAGAGCCATTCTGTTCTGTTCTCTCTGCAGGGCTGACTCACTCTGCAGTGCACGCAATCTGCCACATTACACAGAACTATTTATGTGCCAGCAGACGCCACCTCTTCTCAGTCAGGCCCGCCACGAGGCCGTCGTTCCATGCTCTGGGGCTGCCTGCTCTGCTCTTCCAAAGCAAAGTCAATCCCTGGTGGACGGGGCTGCACTCAGACCTAGCAGAAGAGCGGTCAGTAACTGAAGGAAAGGGGCTGAAAGGTCTGTAATTTTCTTAGTACCTTGAATCACCTCAGAAATCTGGTGACACAGTAGCCTCACCAGAGGACTTGAAAGGCAAGTTTTCACCTGGGAGTCACCACTGAGGATCCAGAGCACGGCTGTAACAGAGAACAGCCGACGGAGTTAGACTGTTAATTTTACTCCTGGTGTATTTGCAGGTACTAATGCAAGGCAATCCTTTCCCTTTCACAATAACCCTGGCTTTTTTTTTAAGCTGTTCTCACGATTTGCGTGGGTTTACAAATGCAGAAGGCTTGGCACTCCAAGGCATAAATCAAGATGCTGTTGATGGCATTTTATCTCTATTTGGTTATGTAAGTATCCATCGTGATTCTAAGCCTGGTAACCAACACTGT